AGGCAGCCGCTTCTTCCTCTCTTGGGCACTGTTGCTACGTTCCAGGTTTTTTAAGGCAATGTACAGTAACTTTGTATTTTAAACCCCGTTTTTTAACACCGGCTGAGGGGAGAAACCCGTTCCTTGTCGTCGTGCCGCGGCACAACTTCAACCGACGCGCGCGGCCCGCGCATCTACCGCTCGCTCGCCCCGTGCAGCTGCCCGCAGGGCTTGTGGGAGCAGGGGGGAGGGGAAGGCTGGGCTTGGCAGACCCTCACGGCCCCCCTAGCTTAGTCTGCATGTCAGGACAGTCTGCCGGGAGGAACTGGGCCCTCTAGGCAGAGTCGCCACTCTGAGAGGAGCGTGGTTGTGTTCAGGTCCAAGCTCGTGCTGCCACTCCAAACCTGGAGGCCCAGGACTTAAGCCGTGAATGTGTGGGCTGCTGGTCTTAGGAATATCCAGCTACTTGGAAAGGGCTCTCGGCTCCAGCCGCGTGTTCTACTCCTGAGCCTTCCAAAAAATTCTCCAGGCTGTCAACTCCACTGACAACTGACGGGAGGATTCTCCTCCCCCTCTGCTTGACTTGGCCTCTGGAAGGGTTTTTCTTCCCCCTGCTCCTGGCACAAGTGCTTTTCCCTGTGAGCCAGCGGCCACGGGCTCCAAGCAGCGGCTCCGGCCAGGTCAAATCTCCACGGGCCAAGGCCACGTGCCCTGTGGGGAGGCACCTCCCCGTGGGTCACAGCCCCACACCCCCTGCTCCTCTGCGTGAGCTGTACCCACAGTGCCTCGCGGCTGGGCCTGGGCTCTCCCGAGGGACGGGGAGAGCAGGGTGCTACTGGTTTGGTTAATAAATAACTTAACGAAACTGAGCGTGCTTTATACCGGCCCGCTCCCAGGAGGCCTCCCCGCCGCCCGGACGGCTCGCAGCAGCGGCCTGGCCCCAGGGCTGCTCGCTGGGGGGGACGCTGGAGCTCGCAGCTTGAATCTAGCAGCCAGGCCGAGGAGCAGGCCTCGTCTAAAAATAGACGCCAGCGTGAG